TCAATGGAAATGTCAGGATTTGCATGTGAGGCTTTCTGCAGACGCTCCACCTCTGAGCCACAGCCCCCCCTCCGGGGGCCATTTCACATATTTAAGAGAACTCAGTGGTAAAGCTTTCCCAGGAATCTGCCGCATCAGGCTGCAAGCCGGCATTTACTTATTGAAACGTATCCCCTCCGTGAATGAATCTTCTCCTGCAGGAAGAAAGCCAGGGAGAAAATGAGGCGGAGCCAGTGTTACCTCTAAGCTGAGTTTCCGTGAGCTAGCTCACAGTTTTTTAGCTTCCAACTCACACATTTCATTTGATTTATATACCGCCCTCCCCGCAAGTGGGCTCAGGGTGTTTTACATCACAATTTAATAAGTACAGTTAAAACACTTTAAAACAACATTATAAAACAGGATAGAATCATAACATTTTTGTCTTCGCTCAGGAAGGGTGGCTCCGGAGCAAACTAATTTATGCAGTGGCCAAATTGCTCGCTCACAACCGTAATGCCAGTAACTCACAAAGCAGAATTTTTGCTCACAAGACTCCACAGCTTAGACGGAGCACTGGGCAGAGCAGGGGTCATTTCGAGGGGGAATGAGCTGGAACGGCATTCTTAGAGTAACGAGCCCAGGCGTCGGGTTAGCTGGGGAGGGGAAGGGGAGGCAGGCAGACATGCTTTCTTTTTTCCCTAAGTCTCTCCCCTTTTGCGGAGAAACTCGGGGAAGTAGGGGGGAGATTTAAATGCCTTTCTTTCCCCAGATGGGGAAGGGAAAGAAAGGCATTTTAAACATGCCTGGGTTCCCTGCTCAATCTCCTCCAGGTTCTTCACCAAGAGAAAATCAGGCAGGGAACCTAGGCATGCTTGCATGCATGCCCTTTGTCAGGGGTGTGGCATATACAAATGAGTTATGCAAATGAGCTCCTGCACCTCTTTTTCTACGAAATGACCCCTGGCAGAGCCCATCTCCGACAGTCTGGTTTTCTATATGGAAGGTGTTTTAACGAGATGACCCAGAAACGTGGGATTCCCTTGTCTTTCCCTCTTCAGCACTGCGGGGTCGCAAAGACTTCCTGGTTGGGAGTGCTGTCGGTCATTTCGGACACAGAGCTCCTCGAATCAGGGCCCTTTCGGCCAGCTGTAGCCAAAAAGCGGCTTCGCCAGACAACCCCCTGAAGCTTGTGTACTTCAAGCTTCCCACACAGAGATTTCTACCTTATTGTGTTTTGCTCCGAGTGCTCGGGCAGACAGCTGGCTAAACCCGCGTTGGTGGCTGTGTGGGCGGGTTCCTTCCCTGCTCTCGCTGGGACGGTGTCATTGCTCGCGGCTCGGCGGTCACGAAGCTGGCAGAGCGCACCCCTGCTAAGGGGGCCCCTTTGCCAAAAAGCCGCGGGCAACCGACCGCCTCCCCCTGCCTGTTGACGTAACCGTTGGAAACCTGCGAATTCTCCTGAAAAGATCTGGGACTTGGCCTTTGGAACTGCCTGGGATCAAGGGCTGCTTAAAATGTGAGGGTCTGAGACACGAAATCTGGGGCCAGCCCTACCCAAAGAAGAAGACAGCTGAACCCACGTTAGAAATCTGGAGTTCAACTAATGCCGAGTACTAACCTTTGTCTTCGGACACAGGCCCAACCTACGTCCTGAGGTTGCAAACAGAGGCTAAAAAATCTAAGGCTAAAGGAAGGCGAAAGAACTGGGGTACGATGCCATAGAGTCCGCCCTCCAAAGCAGCCCTGTCCTCCAGGTAAACTGATCTCTGTAGCCTGGAGATCAGCTGTCATTCCAGAAGCTCTCCAGGCTCCACCTAGAGGCTGGCAACCCTAGAGAAGAAGTATTTTTCTAAGCAGAGGTCCATCAGTGGCTATGAGCCACAAGGTATAGATAGAAACTCTCAGTCTGGGGCAAGGGATGCTCTGTATTCTTGGTGCTTTGGGGGGGGGGGGCAACAGTGGGAGAGCTTCTAATGTCCTGGCCCCACTGCTGGACCTCCTGATGGCACCTGGTATTTTTGGCCACTGTGTGACACAGAGTGTTGGACTAGATGGGCCCTTGGCCTGATCCAACATTGGCTTCTCTTATGTTCTTATGTCTGGGGCAAGTGATGCATTGTATTCTTGCTGCTTGGGGAGGGGCAATGGTGGGAGGCCTTCTAGTGTCCTGGCCCCACTGCTGGACCTCCTGATGGCACCTGGTATTTTTGGCCACTGTGTGACACAGAGTGTTGGACTAGATGGGCCCTTGGCCTGATCCAACATTGGCTTCTCTTATGTTCTTATGTCTGGGGCAAGGGATGCTCTGTATTCTTGGTGCTTGAGGGGGGGCAACAGTGGGAGGGCTTCTAGTGTCCTGGCCCCACTGATGGACCTCCTGATGGCACCTGGCATTTTTGGCCAGAGAGTTGGACTAGATGGCCCTTTGGCCTGATCCAACATTGGCTTCTCTTATGTTCTTATGTCTGGGGCAAGGGATGCTCTGTATTCTTGGTGCTTGAGGGGGGGGGAGACAGTGGGAGGGCTTCTGGTGTCCTGGCCCCACTGATGGGCCTCCTGATGGCACCTGGTATTTTTGGCCACTGTGTGACAGAGTGTTGGACTGGACGGGCCATTGGCCTAATCCAACACTGGCTCCTCTTATGTTCTTATGTTTTCTTGCCCTTTTCTAATAGAAGTAGCTTCAATTATACAGAAAAGGATACATTAATTTTAAGGGCATGCTATTCTAATGGGGGAGAGGGAAGCATACCATCTTGCATAATACTGCATTCCTTTAACAGACAAGCAAAACTAGACCAGGGTGCAAGACAGCAGACTTAAGTAGAGGTCTACTTGACCTCTGCAAAGAAACTCCTTCCTACACTCACAGGTATAGACAAACCTAGCGAAACGTGTGTGGCTTTCCATTTGTCTGCATTGCTGCTAGGTTTGCCAGCTCCGGGTTGGGAAATACCTGGAGATCTTGGGGGTGGAGCCAGAGGAGGGAGGGGTTTCCCAGGGGAGGGACTTCAATAGGGTATGATGTTGCGGATGCCTGCCAGACAAGTTCAATTCATATTCTTGCAAAAGTGTCCGTGTGCATGTGCAAAGATGCTGCCAATTCAAACAGGTATGAATGGAAAGCCGGACAATTGAATGGATCATTTAAAAATGAGCTCCTTTATGGCCAGTGAACAGGACATGAGCTGAGCAAGTGGGTGTTCAAGCATCAATTACAGCTCTATCTGTGTTGTCTTTAGTTTCGGGCTCACTGTACCTGGGCAGCTTATCTAGTCTCCATAGGCCACATCCACTGGGACCATCAGCACAACACCTACTAGAAGTCCCTGGCCCAAAGAGTGACCAGCTGTCCTCAACCAGAGCCGGGGCCTTCTCGGTTCTGGCTCCAACTTGGTGGAACTCCCTGCCTACTAACATCAGGGCCCTGTGGGATTTTTTTACAATTCTGCAGGGCCTGCATGGCAGGGATGTTCCGGCAAGCATACGGTTGAGGACAGCAAGCCGTTTTTAATAGCAAGCGGTTTATTAGTCGCTTTCTCATCCCCCTCACCCCCATGCTAATGTTAATTGGGGGCTAAAAATTCTGTACCGTGGCACCATGTAGATGTTAGGATTGTACAGCTTGGTAGTACTGTGTACAGTACTGGTCACCACACCTCAAAAAGGATATTATAGCATTGGAAAAAGTGCAGAAAAGGGCAGCTGGAATGATAAAAAGGGTTGGAACACTTTCCCTATGAGGAAAGGTTATAAGATTATGCATGAGATAGAGCAGGTAGAGAAAGAGGCACTTTTCTCCCTCTCTCACAATACAAGAACTCATGAAATTGCTGAGCAGTCGGGTTAGAACAGATAAAAGGAAGTCCTTCTTCACCCAAAGAGTGATTAACACATAGAGTTCACTGCCACAGGAGGTGGTGGTGGCTACAAGCATGGACGGCTTCAAGAGCGAATTGGATAAACATATGGAGCAGAGGTCCATCAGTGGCTATTAGCCACAAGGTATAGATAGGGGCTCTGGGGCAAGAGACGCTCTGTATTCTTGGTGCTTGAGGGGGGGCAAGAGTGGGAGGGCTCCTAGTGTCCTGGCCCCACTGGTGGACCTCCTGATGGCACCTGGTATTTTTGGCCACTGTGTGACAGAGTGTTGGACTGGATGGGCCATTGGCCTGATCCAACATTGGCTTCTCTTCTGTTCTTATGGATAAACATCTGGAACAGAGGTCCAACAGTGGCTATTAGCCATAAGGTATAAATAGGAACTCTCGGTCTGGGGCAAGTGATGCTCTGTATTCTTGGTGCTTGGGGGGGCCAACAGTGGGAGGGCTTCTAGTGTCCTGGCCCCACCGCTGGACCTCCTGATGGCACCTGGTATTTTTGGCCACTGTGTGACACAGAGTGTTGGACTAGACGGGCCATTGGCCTGCTCCAACGCTGGCTTCTCTTATGTTCTTATGTTCTTATTTTTAGATTGTTTTAACATATTTTTGGTACAACTCAGTTGTACACCGCCGTGAGCCCGCTCTGCATGGAGGCGGTATAAACATTAAATGCAATAAAAATAAATAAGGCCACAGAGTCCACTTCCCAAAGCGGCCATTTTCTCCAGGCGAACTGATCTCCGTCGCCTGGAGAGCAGCCGTGATCCCAGGAGATCTCCAGCCACCGCCTGGAGGCTGGCGACCCCAGTTGTCGTTTGGGCACGACACAGACTTCCCAGCATCGGATTCCCAAACCCACGGGCCGAGCATAAGTGGAAACAGCAGGAGAGGCCTGGACCGCAGGCAGATTGGGCAGGAGCTGCTGCAGTGCTCCGCGAAGCTTTCTCAGCCGCTCTCCGGTTGGGATTCGTCAGCCCGATCCTTTGCCAGACGCTGGACTTTCTGGCAGGTGGGCTCGCTAACTAGGACTTGCGCTTCTGCCAAGCCGCGTTTTGCTATAAAGGAGGGAGAGAGGGAAACAAACAGCCAGGAGTGGTGGAGGGGAAAAGAAGAGTACATCTACCACCCGCAAACCTTTCCATGAAGCCAGGTTTCATCTCCAGGCTGTAAATCTTGAAATTCCTCAAGGAGGTTTGGTTGAGAAAGATGTCACCAATTAAGCCTGAAAGAGAAAGGAGGGTAAACGCTGGAGCGGAGAGAAGTGGCGGAGCTGATAAATCGCACTTGGCGGCGGAGGGGGCAGCCGGCAGCTGAAATCGGCCCTCCTCCGCAGTAGAATCAGGGCCCACGCTCCGCGCTGCGCTTGTGGATCAAAAGGCGGACCCCTTTGGCCCTGAACGTGCGAAGCTGCTTTATACCGAATCAGATCGCTGGCCCATCGAGGGCAGTATTGCCTACTCGGGCTGGCAGCGGCTCTGCGGGGTCTCAGGCAGAGGTCTTTCACGTCCTCTGATCTTTCCAGCTGGAGACACCGGGGATTGAACCTGGGACCTTCTGCATGCCGAGCAGAGGCTCTGCCACTCAGCCACAGCCCCTCCCAATCACAGCAAACTGAACTCCCATCCTCTTTTACTCTTCCCCTCCCCCCCCAGGAAAATTTTTGCCCGCACCTTTTTTTTTTTTTGAGGGGCCGTGGTGGCTCAGGGGTTAAGACGCTGAGCTGCAGGCCAGGAGGTCTGTAGCTCGGCAGTTCAAGACCCAAGTGCCACGTGACGGAGTGAGCTCCCGTCTCTGGCCCCAGCTCCTGCCAACCCAGCAGTTCGAAAGAAATTGCAAGTAGATAAATAGGTACCGCTTCGGTGGGAAGGCAACAGCGTTCTGTGAGCCTCGGCGTTTAGTCATGCCAGCCACATGGCCACGGAGAAGTCTTCGGACAGCGCTGGCTCTTCGGAAATGGAGATGAGCACCGCCCCCTAGAGTCAGATTCGACTGGCTTTCAAGCAAGGGAAGCCTTTACCTTTTACTAGGTTAGATTTTAGCTCACTGATCGATACACAGGGTTGGGCTTTTCAGAAAGCAACAGATTTAACTGGTTACTAAAGGAAAATAGCGATCCACAGCCAGCCGGCCATAGAGGTCCTTCAGGAGTACTCAAGGGCTTGGCCATAAAACCCACTGGGGAGTTTTGGTTTTTCTTTTCTTGGAGCAGCAAACTGACCTGCTGCAGCACAAACGGATTTGGAAAAGCTGCTGGCTTGCAAAACGGCAAACTGCTGTATGAGCGGCCAGAGTAAAAACACACCCCCTTTGGCCTGGGGACCTTGTCAGTCAGTGCTCCGGTCCCTAACCAGGAATCTCCAAGCCCTCCCATGGTCTGAAAAACAGGAGATCTGGGCACATGCAGGGCTGCGCTTTGCTACAGTCCCAGGAATAGGGAGGGTGGAGAGTGAAAAGGGACCTGCCAAATAATGGCGAAGGCAGTTGCAGAGAAGAAAACAGGGCCACGTTGTCCCAGTTTTTAGTCGACTCGCTATGAATATTGGTCAGCCGAGAAAGGCGGGAAGGGATGAGACGTCGCTCGGTTCTTGTGGCCCTTTCTTGTATGCCCAAGGTAATGCTGACTGCCATTTTGGGGTCAGGAAGGAATTTCCTTTCAGGTCGGATTGGCCCAGGGATCCTGGAGGTTTTTTGCCTTCCTCTGGGCATGGAGCGGGCGAGGGGGAGTGGGGAGCATAGTTGTGAATTTCCTGCATTGTGCCAGAGGTTGGACCAGATGACCCCACTCCCGGCGCCGCCGCCCCGGCCCCGCCGCCGCGCAGGGCTCTTTTTGTAGCAGGTACTCATTTGCATATTAAGCGACACACCCCTAATGTAGCCAATCCTCCAAGAGCTTACAGTAGCCCCTGTAAGAAGAGCTCTGTAAACTCTTGGAGGATTGGCTACATTAGGGGTGTGTGGCCTAATATGCAAAGGAGTTCCCACTACAAAAAGAGCCTTAACGTCGCTTCTATGTTAAAGCTGCTAAATGACTAGTTGGGCAATGGTGGCTGCTTAGGCACAGAGGCTTTTCTCCACGTTGACTTACAAATATGAGTGCTTTTTTGGAAGCATCCACGTGATGCCCTACTCCGACTGTGCTTCAGTTCTCCTTTCCCTGTTCTCTTTCCAAGCTTGCTTTGCTATGGTATTTTTGAGAAAAACGCAGCCCGAGTGTGGGTCGTGCCATCTGGACGCCTTTTCTAAGGCTCTGCCCACACTGGTGCCAATCTCCTTCCATGGCCATTTGCCCTGACGTGCCACTGGAGGGCTGAAAACAGAAATCAGTGACTGCTGTATTGCTACAGTCTGAGGAAAGGAGCTTCGACTCTTGAAAGCTTATTCCCTCCGCAAATCTTGTTGGTTTCACCCAACATGAAATGGACGGACTTAGAATCATAGAATTGGGAGGGACCTCCAGAGACATCTAGTCCAACCCCCCTGCACAATGCAGGAGATTCACAAATACCTCCCCCCCACACACATGTACCCAGTAACCCCTGCTCCATGCCCAGAAGATGACAAAAACCCTCCAGGTTCTCCGGCTAAACTGGCCTGGAGAAAAATTGCTTTCCAACCCCAAAGTGGTGATCAGCAGTTCCCTGGGCATGTAAGAAAGGGCCATGAGAACTAAGCACTGAGACAACCCTTCCTGCCCTCCCTCTCATGGTCTGCCCAGATTCACAGAATCAGCATTGCTGTCAGATGGCCATCTAGCCTCTGCTTAAAAACCTCCAAAGAAGGAGAGCCCACCACCTCCCGAGGAAGCCTGTTCCACTGAGGAACTGCTCTGTCAGAAAGTTCTTCCTAATATTTGTACAAAACCTCTTCTGATTTAATTTCAACCCGTTGGTTCTGGTCTGACCCCCTGGGGCAACAGAAAACCAGTCTGTACCATCCTCTAGATGACAGCCCTTCAAGTACTTGAAGATGGTTATCGTATCCCCTCTCAGTCGTCTCCTCTCCAGGCTAAACATACCCGGCTCCTTCAACCTTTCCTCATAGGACTTGGTCTCCAGACCCCTCGCCATCTTCGTTGCTCTCCTCTGGACACGTTCCAGCTTGTCTATATCCTTCTTAAACTGTGGTGCCCAAAACTGAATACAATACTCTAAGTGAGGTCTAACCAGAGCAGAGTAAAGCGATTACCGTCACTTTGTGTGATCTGGACACTATTCTTCCGTTGATACAGCCCAAAATCGCATTTACCTTTTTAGTGACGGCATCATACTGCCATTCACTGTATGGTCTACTAAGACCCCTGGATCCTTTTCGCACAGGCTACTGCCAAGACAAGTCTCCCCCGTCCTATAATTGCGATTTGATTTTTCCTATCTAAACGCAGAACTTTACACCAATCCCCATTGAAGTTCATTCTATTTGTTTCAGTCCAGTTTTCCAGCCCGTCAAGATCATCCTGTATCCTGAATCGGACTTAATCGAGGAAGCCGCTGCCTTTAGTCTGCAAGGCCTGAGCAAGGTGTCCAGGACAGGATGTTTTGGAGATGATTAATTCATCGAGCCGCCGCAAGCCAGAAGTGTCTTGACGGCCCTTAACTCACACGCGAGGTGCGGCTGAACTCAAATCACGACAATGTTATAGTGCAATAATAACGAGCAGGGCTTTTTTGGTAGAAGCCCAGCAGGAACTCATTAGCATAATTGGCCACACCCAACAGCAGGCTCATTAGCATATTAGGCCACACCCCTGACAGCACAGCTCATTAGCATATGAGGCCACACTCCTGTGTTGCCAGAAGTGTGGTCATCCGGCCACACCCACCTTTTGCTTCTTATTCTGTTTACCTTGTTTGTGGTCAAAACCCAGGGCCTTTTTTTGGAGCAGGAACTCCTTTGCATGTTAGGCCACACACCCCTAATGTAGCCAATCCTAATGAGTTTCTGCGGTTGGGTGTGGCCTGTTATGCTAATGAGTTCCTGCTGGGCGTGGCCAACTCGGGAGCCAGCCGGAACTCCATTCCTGTGCGTTCCTGCCCCAAAATAGCCCTGATTACCGAGTGATTTTGAAAAAGCCTGCAGCGAGGAAAACGGTAGAGGGCAGGGGGAAAGTGTGCAGAAAATGCCCGTGTGGAAGCTCTGTTCCCAGTATGACTGCAAAATGGAGAACTGCGGCCGCGGTTGCAGCCCGTCTATCACGAGAATGGATTTCCCCACACATCAGCTACCTGCGCTCCAGACAAACTCACATCAGCCCACACTAGCTAGATGGGGAGGTGGGGTTGCCAGATCCAGGCTGGGAAACTCCTGGAGATTCAGGGATGGAGCCTGGGGAGGACGGGGACCTCTGTGGGGTACAGAGCCACAGAGTCCACCCTGCAGAGCATCCCTTTTCTCCAGGGGGAACTAATCTTTTTAGTTTGGAGTTGAGTTGTAATTCCAGGGGATCTCCAGGTCCCACCTGGAGGCTGGCATCCCTGTCTCTCTCACACACACACAAAGAGAGGAAGGCCAGCCAAAAGGGCCTCATGCCGAGAGGGGAGTCAAGCCAAGACTATTGCAGCAATACACTCAATGCACTCAAGAGCGGATCGCGGCAGTTAAGCATCACAACACAAGCGGTACCAAAATCCCCGAGCGAGCAGCTCCGTATGGCTGGCCCGTCTCCCGACGCCCATCCGTCCGATTTCAGAGCTGAAGGCAAAAGCCGCGGCGGTGAGCGATAGTTAGGCAGCGGAAGCAAAGCAGTGAAAAGCGAATCTGTTACGCTCGCCAAAACAGACTGTCAAAATACAAACGGCGTTCTGGAAAACGGGCAGCATCGGTTATCCGAAAAGCAGAGCGGTCGTTCGGATTGGGCGTCTCCTTCCCGAAATGAATAAGGAGCCGGGCTTAAGCAACACTGGATGACATTCTTGTTTGTACAAAAGGAAAGCCCGTTTTTGTGCCGCGGGCGATATGGCAGGACGAGACCCCCTGGCAAATGGGCTCTAGGGTTGCCAGCTCCGGGTTGAGAAATACCTGTAGATTGGGGAGGGGGTGGAGCCTGAGAAGGGCGGAGTCTGGGGAGGGGAGGGGCTTCAGTGGGGGCGTAATGCCACGGCGTCTACCTTCCAAAGTAGCCATTCTTCTCCACCTGAACTGATCTGTCGCCTGGAGGTTAGCTGTAATCCTATGAGATCTCCAGGCACCACCTGGAGGTTCACAACCCTAGAGGGTCCAGATCCCCGCTCTACAAAACTCTTCTCTGTTTATTTCAATTTTCCATCGACGACGCCCACCTCACAGAGCCTGGCTCAAGAGCAAGCGCCGTAAAGCCGCGAAAAGCACTTCAGCAAACCGATAAGCCGAAGTAGCCACTTTTCTATACCTGTATTGGTAAATACGCGCAAAAAGATCGAAAAAGCTAAATAAAGACAGAGACGCCTTTTTAAAAAAATGCAAGCAAAGGAACCCCGCTGGCCAAGAGACGGAGGCTTGAATCACAGAGCCTAGAGTTCTTATCTCGCCACCGCCACAAATTTAGGAGGCGGGCTTAGGAAAGACACTGTCTCGGCCTCAACTCCTCCCGGCAATGTGATCCTAAGACTACCGGCCTACCTTACAGGCTTGCTGTTGGGCTTCCAGGGGACACTGCATGTGAAGCAGAGGCTCTAAAGCATTTCTCAGTCGTAGAATGGTGAACCCCCTCCGAAGGCCTTCCAAGATCCGCCTGAGGAGGTCCAAAAGGCTACCGCCCTCATGGCTTTCCGTAAACTAGGCAACACTGAGTTCTAGGTCATCAGCCCTGTTGGTCCGAAGCAGTAGAACAAATTTAGAGTCCAGTGGCACCTTTAAGACCAACAAATGCCCCATCATGAGAGGGAGGGCAGGAAGGGTTGCCTCAGTGCTTAGTTCTTGTGGCCCTTTTTTACACGCCCAGGGAAATGCTGATCGCCGCTTTGAGGTCAGGAAGCAATCCTGGAAAATCTTTTTTTTTTGTCATCATCTGGGCGTGGAACAGCAGTCACTGCAGGTGTGTGGGGGAGGTATTTGTGAATCTCCTGCATTGTGCAGGGGGTTGGACTAGATGACCCTGGAGGTCCCTCCCAACCCTGTGATCCTATGAAAGGTTTATTCAAGGTAGGAACTTTTGAGTGCACGCACACTTTTCCAAATACACACGAAAGCTTATACCTTGAATAAACCTTTGCTGGTCTTAAAGGTGCCACTGGACTCTAAATCTGTTCTAGGCAAAACTTAATTATCCAAGAGGGCTTTTCTATGCAGGGAATAGAGTCAGACTGTACTAAATGATTCACAACGTTACTTAGACACATTAGTAGGGACTGCGGTCTATACTACAGTGTCTTGCTTGCTGAAACCAGGATCCTGCTATGGAATTTTGCATCATTTAGGGTGCTTTCACACATGCTAAATGATGCCGTTTCAATCCACTTCAGCGACCGTTTGCAAGTGGATTTTGCCGTCTCACTCAGGAACATGCAATCGCAAAGTGGACTGAAAGTGTGTGCGAAGGTGCCCTTAAGGGGTCACGTTAATACTAAGGCTTTGCTTCAGTTCAGTTTTTAGACTTCTGGTTGGTTCTACAACCCTAATCCTATTGCACCGTTTACTGAATGCCCCATCTGTCAACTCTCTCCGTGTCATCCGCCTTGAGTCCAAGTGAGAAAGGCAGACTATGAATAATAAACAGACAAATAAATAAAGCCTTGCTAAACACCTCTCTGGAATAAAAGGTGCTTTTGCTTGGCAACGGGGAGGGGGGGAACAAGGAGGGGAGGATTTGCTGCCAATAGTTTGTATGGGGGGGGGGGTGTTCCGCTAGCAAAACAAAAACCGGTCATGCAAAAATAAGAGGCAAGATGCCAATTAGCTCATTTTGCATAATTGTGCATTGGTTGCAGGATTTGGATCTTCTTGGCGTGGAATATGGATGGAGAATTTTTCATCGCTTGGAATATAAACGGCCCTCTGTGTTGGACGTGTATGAGGCAGAACAAGCTGGGAAATCTGCACACTGCGAGGAGCTACAAAACCGAGTTATTTTATAGAAAAGGTGGAAGAAGACAAGAGAGCCCCCACCTTTGCGTTGGCTGTTCAGCTTCAGTCCGTAATTGACTCGCCCGCAGTTCTCTACGAGGAGTCGGAGCTGCCGGTATCCCTGTAAAGAAGATCAGGACGCAGTTGGATCCGGGAGAAGTGGGTAGCCAGACGTGCTTAGTGGGCATTCCCTCTATCGGTGGCATTGCCCCTGGCGTTTAATTCCTGCCCTTTGCACCCTCCTGCCTGAGTCGGGCATTTCCTCCCATGCTTCTTGCCGCTCGCCCTGCTGTGTAAGTTGCACACCTGGTACCCGATGGACACACCGCGGGCACAATACAACAGCGAGGTCGGTCCGGCTCCCTTTCCACTCTAGCTCACTATTCTGGGGGAACAAGGAGTGACGGCCTGCCGAGTGGCACTGTGCAATGCGAGCAATGACAGAGTGGGAAATTGCCTCCCCCCAGAAAAATCCCAGCCTGGGTCTGGGGTCTGGAATAGGAGCAGGGGGCCTCCCACCCAAATGAGGCGCATTTACATGCTCTGAACTAGGGGGTAAGCGGAAGCAGGGACCGGCTCAGGACACCGTCCTCCGCCGATGACACAGGAACGTTTTAAACAGCCGTCGGGCTGCCGAGGAAGCGCTTCCCCTTGCAACCGATCCGAGACACACCTATTCCGCTCCCACACCCAGCTCTGAAATCCTGCAGGTATGAAGCAGAAGACATTTAGGCCTGGCCCAGAACGGCATGGAATGTTAACAAGGGGCTTTTATCGCTATGGTTTGAAAAGGCCACGTGAAGCATGATCGAGAGCCCAAGACTGACAGCCCAGCTGCTGTCTGCATCTCGAAGTTAGGCTCGCCCTGTAGCCCGGCAACCTGCCGAGAGCTTTGTTTTGACATCTCCGGACTCTTCGGCTTAGGTCTGGAAGGTTCCTGAACATGCGCCGCGCAGGCACAAGGTCCCACAGCAGCCTCCACACAGGCCCCAAAGAACAGCATGGGAGCGAGGGCTGCAGACGCCGCGAGACTTAAAACGCCAGGTCTGCAAGCCGGACGTCAATCTGCCCCATCGATGATTCAGCTTTAAAATACCTAGGGGGTGATTTTAATTGCAGATGGGAAATCTTAGCTGGTGGGGCCTCTGCTGTTTCGGGGGCACTGTTGTTCGGAGGCTTCGTTGCACCAGCTTATTCGCCTGGCACTGGCCCTGACCCACTGCAGCTCGAATCGAGATTGGAGGCCAGCGCGAACGTTTCGGTCGACCTGACTGCCGGCGCTTCTGTCCGCAACGCAGGCTGAGCTCTCTGACTGCTTACCTGTCCGTTAGGAATCGGCAGTTCTTGTACGGTGTAATCAAGGTAGCCGATATACAGCATATTAACGAACACCTGCAGGACAGGAAACAGCCGGCACCTCATTTGTCAATCACAAAAAGCCGGAGGATTAGAGAAGGATTTTGAAGGGGGAAACGGGAAGGGGGGGGGTTGCAGGGAGGGAACAGCAGCACTGCCCGGGGGGAATTGGGGATTGCTGGGGTCTCTTCCCAGCTGTGACAGTAAGCTTATTACTATAATCGTTTAAACGGTACTTAGACAAAAACACACGCATACATGCAATTTAGAAATCCAGATTATCTGGTATCAGTGGCTATACTGAGATGGCCGTGGAGCCGGATTTCGAAAAATGAACTTTTCTCCTAAATGTTCTGCTGGTGTTAAGACCAGCTTTGCTGGTCTCCAGACTATCCCTAAAGTTTAAGGATCTTGGGCTTATAAAAGTTCTCAATGGTGTAAGGCCAGGGTGTCAGAAGGCCCGCCTTCTCTCATGTGGAACCACCCACTTCTTCAGTTTGGAGGCCATGCTCCGGGCCGCCGCGCAGGGCTCTTTTTGTAGCAGGAACTCCTTTGCATATTAGGCCACCCCCCCTAATGTAGCCAATCCTCCAAGAGCTTACAGAGCTCTTCTTACAGGGGCTACTGTAAGCTCTTGGAGGATTGGCTACATTAGGGGTGTGTCGCTTAATATGCAAATGAGTAACTGCTACAAAAAGAGCCCTGGCCCGCGCACCTATCTGTGGAAATTAGATGGCGGGGTGATTTCTCTGTGGGGGCACCCCTGATGAAAAAGCTGAATTTAATATCTTTTAGGTGTCCAAAGAACCTGCTAGATTTGTCTTCCTTCTGTTAAAGCTCTTTCATATAATATTTGGTCAGTATGATATTATATAGGCTTACTTTGTTTCAGTGGTTCTAAGCTGCCTTGGAAGACTTTTTTTTTTGAAAGATTAAAATATTTTAAATAAATTGTAGGAGTGTGTGTTTCTGCCTACCACTGAGTCCTAAAATCATATCTGATTATTTCGTTTGTAAAGCAGCCAACCAGTTGACCTTAAGTGCCAATCAACAGGGCAGAGAGGCCAAGGCATTCCCCTGATGCTGCCTCCTGGGTGCTGAATTACAGAGGTTTACTACCTCCAAACCGGAGGTTCTCTTTAGTCACCACGGCTAGTTGCTGCAGACAGACCTCTCCATCCATGAATCCATCTAACCCTCCTTTTAACCCCATCTACATTTGTGGCCACCATTTGATCCTCTAGCAAGCGATTCCACAGTTACCCGTTGAATGGAGAAGTATTTCCTTTTGTCTGTCCAGGTACCTATTTGCCCACTGACTTGAATGGGTACCTCTAAGAGACAATTTGGGGAAAGGGAGAAAAAAGTTCTCTCTGTCACCTTCCAGTTCTATGGGGGCTCACGCGGAGCTCCACGACCCACGTTAAGGGTCCAAAACCAAGGGCTGAAGACAACCGCAGAGGTCTGTTACCAACAGCAGCCTCTTTCTGTTCCAAAAAGAGTTCTCTGACTTTACAGTTAGTCAGCTAAAGAGGAGATAGCATTCTGCCCCCCCTGCAGCTATTAACAGAATGTGACTTGTATTTTTCACCTGTGCTCTATCCCGGACGTGGTCCTGGGAATACAGCCGTCCTCCACCTGGTACGACGGTCTCATAGAGAATATACCCATAGGACTGCCCATTGCCGTCGTTCACCTGGAGGTTCTCCATGGTGACAGGATGCTCCGACTTTATGGGCTGCAACACAGAAAGCACAAAACGGAGAGCATTAATGGGCAAGACCAAAATTGGTATAAAAATGTGCATGGAACCTTTAATGTGCCTGTATGGGGAAGAATGCGGAGGAGTTTGACTCTTCAACCTTCATTCAGTGTCAGTAATCAAAACTGATTCCCGGGCTCTGCTATTGGGAATTTAAAGGGTAAACGGTGTGTTTTTTAACAAAAAAAGGTGTGTGTGTGATTCCCCCCCCCCCCCCCCCGCCCGCCGCCAAGTTCAATCAGCAAAACTGAATGGAAATTGATGGGTTAAACTCCCTTTCCCTTCCCTGCATGGTCCCAAGGCAAATTGAGGCTGCACAATCACAACCTGCATTTTATAGATGGAAAAAGAGGTGTGATCTTTTTCTGTTCTGTTTTAGCCCTAGATCACACTTCTACAGACAGAGTTTTCAAGGACAACATCTGGTTACTTGGCTAACCTGTCTGACCCCCCTCCTCAATGCAGTTTGGCCCCTCCCACCTACATACATACTGTCCTTTGACCTTTGTCCGCTGCTCTTAACCACTACACTACGCTGGCTTGAAATAGATGAATAGACAAAAAAATGCAAACAAATGATGCTCATGGTGACATGGGAGTCGGGACAATAGAGAAGCTCCCCCTGTGGCATTCAGTCTTCAACAGCTTCATTAAACCATGCAAGTCGACACGTGCGGAGTCACAGCATCACCTAAAGCTCTGCTTGCACAATGAAAAAGAAGGAACACCGTCCTTTCTTGTAAAACATCTGATGAGCGAAAGATTTATTCCAAGCTCAGTGTGGCGAGACGAAGGAAAACAACTCTTTACCTTCCCTCACCTAAAACACAAAAACATCACTGCCAGCTAAGCCAAGGCTGATCTCTGCAAGCGTGCACAGGTCAGACTGAGTGCAAAGGCCTTCTGCTGAAACAGTTCATGAATGGCTGGCTTGCCCAACAAACAACCAAGCCCCTGATCACGAAGGGCAAGCAGAAGGGGCTGTGGCTCAGTGGCACAACATCTGCTTGGCGATCAGAAGGTCCCAAGTTCGATCCCCAGCATCTCCAATTAAACAGACATCAGAGAACAAGTGTTTGGAAAGGCCCTTCTCCACCTGACGCTCTGGAGAGCAGCTATCAATCAGAGGAATCATAGAATCATAGAATGTTAGAGTTGGAAGGGACCTCGCAGGTCATCTAGTCAAACCCCCTGCACTCTGCAGGAGCATAGCTGAAAGATAGCCCTACAACATACCCGAAAGATGGCCGTCCAGCCTCCGCTTGAAAACGTCCAGCGAAGGAGCATCCCGAGGCAGTCTGTTCCACTGCTCAACCACTCTTACAGTTAGGACGTTTCTCCTGATATTTAGCTGGTATCGACTCCCTTGTAATTTTCACCCATTAGATCTAGTCTTGCGATCCGGAGTGAGAGAGCAGATCTGCTCCATCTTCTACATGACAGCCCTTCAAATATTTGTAGACTGCAATCATGTTGCCTCTAAGCTTTCTCTTTCCCAGGCTAAACATACCCAACTCTTTCAGCCTTTCCTCATAAGACTTAGATTCCAACCCTCACACCATCCTAGTTGCCTTCTTCTGTACAGGTGAGAAGACTAGGCAGACCAATCGTCTGACACTGTATAAGGGAGCCTTATGTGTTAAGGTCATTTCCCTTAACTGCACTTAAAATCTGTTGACACTGCCGTCAAAGGATGACCAGCAAAATATACGATACTTCTAAGGGCATATATCACCGATGTATGCAAGTCATCTTTTGGATGTTACGGTCAATCAGTTTTAAGCATGCATACACGAAATCGGCACTGCCCAAATCGAATCTTTCCCACATGGTCCAAATTACGCTGCGCTCTATGGAACAGCACCACCCATGAAAACCAGAGATGGCCACGTGTAAATCTGAAGCTAAATCCAAGAGCTTTATGGATCACTTGGGCCAGAGTTCTGGGTTTGTTCATTTTAAAGCTAAAGGTAATGGTTCCCTTGCTCAAAAGCCAGTCGAGTCCGACTCTAGGGTTATGGTGCTCATCTCCGTTTCAAAGCCGAAGAGCCAGCGCTGTCCGAAGACGTTTCCGTGGTCATGTGGCCGGCATGACTAAACACCAAGGCGCACGGAACGCTGTTCCCTTCCCACCGAAGTGGTACCTATTTACCTCCTTGCAATTTCTTGCTTTTGAACTGCTAGGTTGGCAGGAGCTGTGGCCAGAGACGGGAGCTCACTTCGTCATGCGGCAACTCGGGTCTCGAACTGCTGAACGACCGACCTTCTACAGCCTGCAGTTCAGCGTCTTAACCACTTGAGCCACCGCAGCTCTAGAGTCTATAAGACTCTAAAAGATGGGGGTTCTACATCAAACTAAGCCTGAACTCGGCCTAGACGTTAAAATGACTAAAATGAAGCTATCGAGCTTTGGTCACATTCTGAGAAGACAAGAGTCGCTGGGAAAGACAATAATGCTGGGAAAAGCGGAAGGCAGCAGGAGAAGAGGAAGACCCAACAGGAGATGGATCGACTCAATCAAGGAAGCCAGGAGGGCCCTCCGTTTGCAAGACCTGAGAGAGGCTGTGAACTGGAGGATGTTATGGAGGACTAATCCATAGGGCCGCCAGGAGTCGGAAGTGACTTGACAACACTTAAAACACACATGCGCGCACACACAAGCACACAAACACGCACACAAGCTGGGGGGAGGGGAAATCACCACCTGGAGGTATGCAGTACTCACCTCTACCACAGATGACAGCAGTTCCCACAGAGAGACATATTGCTGCATCAGGATGGCTCCATACGATGCCTTGGTTGAAATCATAGGAGGGAGAGGGAGGGGCTCTCCTTTTTAAAAACAATAAAAACAATAATAATGCATTTAGTTCAAATGGGGAAAACAACACACAGCCGAGTGACCTCTCGGAGCAGTGCTCCACCAACTCGTCGTCGCCCTCTGCTTTGAAAGGCACATAGCTGACACACGCAAACTGCCGACCCCAGGCCAAATAATTTCCATTGTTTTCATGCTGCTGGGAACCCCCTGTGTTTCCCTTGGCTTCTACTCCCGCAGGCGCGGGTTCCCCCCCCCCCCCCCCCCGCCTTCACTGTCCTCACCTTCAATTGCCCTTGCTGCCCTTCAACCTGACTGGCTGCATTGACCCACCCGAACCGGGGAGCTGGCCAGCTGTTCTTAGGCACAATCTGCATCTAGCCTTTGCTCCGCTGGAATAGAAAAAGATACCGCTCAAAACCACATTCAAATTTGTTGTTGTTGTTCAGTCGCACAGTCGAGTCCGACTCTTCGCGACCCCATCGACAAGATCATGTAGGCCTTCTGGTCTTTCGTCGTGCTCTGGAGTTTGCTTAGTTTCATGTTCATTGCATCTATGACACTGTCTAACCATCTCATCCTTTGCCATCTCCGTCTTCTTTGACCTTCAATCTTTCCAAGCGTCAGGGTCTTCTCCAGTGAGTGCTCCCATCTCATATGGTGGCCAAAGCATTTGAGCTTCAGTTTCATTATCTGGCCTTCCAGGGAACAGTCAGGGTTGATTTCTTTTAAGATTGACTAATTTGATCTCCTTGCAGTCCAAGGGACTCTCAAGAGTCTTCTCCAGCACCATAGTTCAAAAGAGTCTATTCTTTGGCGCTCGGCCTTCCTTATAGTCCAACTCTCGCAGCCATACATGACTACTGGGAATACCATTGCTTTGACCATGCGGACTTTTGTTGGCAGGGTGATGTCTCTACTTTTTATCATGCTGTTTAGGTTCGCCATCGCTTTCCTCCCAAGGAGCAGGCGTCTGGGCCAATGCCGTACTGACTGCAGAGCCATAAAACGGCCACAAATCTATGCAGACGCTTCCATAAAACTAAGAGAGATCAAACGAAGTGAAAGCGGCCTGTAGTCTGGACACTGCCATGAAGTCCAACACTCAATCAAAGTGAAAGTGGCATGCAATGCAGACGGGAATTTCAGCGGAGCAAATGCTAGATGCAAACTGGGCCTCAGTCTCTCCGAGTAATCTGCTGTTGAGTCAATGCTTTAACGGGTTTTACTGCTGCATTTGTTTGTATTTCTTGTACTTTTTTAAGTTCTGCAAGCCACCCCATGTCCCCTGTGGGAAGAGGGTGCGGGGTATAAGATAAATAAATAGATGAATCGGAAAGAAAACATCCCCAAATTGTCCCAACACCGATTACACCCCCCCAACTACATAAGACCCTTCGACTCTGCCCCTTCAGTGTTTGTTTGGGGAGCCCAGCTTTCCTGCAGACCAAAAGATGGAAGAAAAGGTTTGTCCGCAGGCCGACAGAGGCGGTGAGGGAAAAGACGGGCGGCGTGGTTATTTGCCAGCGAGAGCCCCAGAAGAGAGAGAATAAGCAAACAGCTCCTCTCTTTCTGATTTGCATTTGTTTTAAGCCTGCTGGCATGGAACGCTCCTCTCAGTAGACAGACGCCGCCGTCATTAGTGCGCACGCCGCCCCCCCTCCCCCACTGCTGCGAAGTCAGCCGAAAGGCCATTTCCATAACAAGACAATCTACCTTCCCGGTCCCCTCTTTGCGCTTCAGAAAATGCTCCCGGCTAATCGGAGGGATGTAGCGACACGGGGGAGCAGCGGGAGTTTGGCGCGCACCGGAGAGCCAATTTGCAAGCTTTGCTCATGTGGCACCGGCGGGCGCTTAGAGGAGGCAGGGAGGCCTCCGTGGAGCTTGTATATATATGTGGGTTTTTAGAGGCCCTTACCCACAATCTTGGAGAAGAGCTGGCGCAGTTTGAAGAACTTGGAGGTGTAGTCTCCAGCCTCGGTCAGCACGGCGTCATAGTCTGGAAAAGAAGGGGTGCGGCGGTCAAGACGAAATGCCAAGGAGAAAATACTGGGTAGAATTCTGTGCGTTTCCTGCAGCAGAAAATAGCAACAGTCCAGTAGCACCTTAAAGACTAACAAAGGCTGCGGTCACACACACACATACCAATCCACTTTCAATGCCCCTTCCAACTAGATTTTGACAGTTCACAGTAAAATCCAGTTGGAAAGTACACTGAAAGCGGATTGAAAGTGCATTGTTTAGTGGGTGTGACCGCAGCCAAAATTTGTGGCAGGGTATGAGCTTACCTGTCACAAATTTCAAGGTGTTACTGGACTCTTGCTCTTTTCTACTGCTACAGACAAACGGGGCTGCCCATCTTGTGCTTTTTCTGCACCTCGCGAGACTTTTGGGCAGGCAACCAGACTTGATCTGGAATCGGAGCCGTTGACCATTTCTAGTGTTTTTCTTTTAAAAAGTAAATGTTTTCTATCTCTCAGGGATGCAGAGAAAAGGACAGCTTGACTTTGGCCAGTTCCAGATTCACGGCACGGAGCTCGGGTGAGCGGGGCTTTCTTGGGATGGGGCTACAACTTCAAACGTCTCCTCTCGCTGTGGGTCTTTCTCCCCGGCTCCCAGACCTGCACACAGTGTTCCCTCTAAGCTGAGTTAGTGTGAGCTAACTCACAGTTTTATAGCCTCAGGCTCACACGTTGCTGTCTTAGTTCAGGAAGGAGGGCTCCAGAGCAAACTAATTTATGGCAGCAGCCAAATCGCTCACTCACAACTTTAATGCCAGTAGCTCACAAAGTACATACATACATACATATTACATTTATATACCGCTCCTTCCCGAAGGCTCGGAGCGGTTTACAGAGCATTGTTAATTTTACCTGACTAGGGCCACAGTACAGGAGAGGGTGAGTGCCTACCGGGCACCTGAGCAGCCGAGCTCTTCTATGTTGTTCCTTCCGTGGAGAGATCTTCGATCTCCAGGCGGTGGTTTCTCGATGAAGGTGAAGGTCTGATCTTTTCGCAGCGACTCCTTCAGGCACGGTCTGCGCGGTGCGCGGCTGTGTGACGGCTGCAGCGGGTCTCCGTCCTCATAGGCTCCGACCACGTGTCGTCCCGTCACCGCGCCCGCCAGGCCAATCACCGCTTAGAGGGAGCATTGCCTGCACATCCCCTGCTCCCAGTGCCAAACCTTTTGGGCAGCTGTTTTCTAGGGTGTTGTGTCGTTTGGTAGTGGTTTTGCACCTTCGTACGTTGGCCCTTGCCAATTGTATGTCACCTCGCAGTTTGTTAGTACAAACTGCTAAAAAAAAAGCTGCCTCTCCAAACGATGGGGGGATAGTTTCAGAGGGCCCTCGCCTGGACGGACCAGGCTAGACCTCTGGAGCTAAGCAGAGTCGGCCCCGGTTAGTATTTTGATGGGAGACCACTAAGGAAGGCCAGGGTTGCTATGCACAGGCAGGCAACGGCAAACCACCTCCAAATGTCTCGGAATGTACAGGGCCGCCATAAGTCGGGTGAGGCTTGACAGCGCTTTCCACCACCATGATCAGACGGTGGTTGTGCTGGTCAGCAGTGGAAGAGCTGGATTCGAGTCCAGCAGCACCTTAGAGACCAACAAGAGTTTCAGGGTACGAGCTCATGACTCTCGAAAGCTTACCACCCGAAAATCTCGCTGGCGTGCTTCCTCTGGCCAGTCGCCACGGATACACATCACTGAAAGCTAGAGACGTAGTCCAAAAGCAAGCCGAGAAAGAGTGCCAAGGGTCAGAATGCCGGGAAATCAGTCAGAGTTCTCAGGAGCAAAGAGCCGATGCTGGCAGCTGGGACAAGGTCTGAGATTGCACGGTTGCGTCCGCACCGAGGCAGGTGAGCGTGATGCTTATACTCCGGTCCTCCCTTCCCTGGGAGGTGACCTGCAAAGGCTCACGGCCCTTCATGTTGCCTAGGCAACAGCTGAAGTCTAGCACTCCTCCTCCTCTCCCGCACATCCAGACGCTGGCGTGCCCTGCGTCTGGGACATTCGGGTGAGCTAGGTGGGGACTCTGGCCTCGGGGTGTCTCCAACTGGGGGTGCTGGGCCAGGCTCTGGACTAGACTCTCCCTCTGGCTGCACCTCAGTCTCTTCGCCTTGCTGCCCCTCCGGAGCAGCTGCTGGGGTCTCTTCACCCTCAGGTGCTGGCAAAGGTTCCTCTTCTGGGCTGACTTAGAAGGCGGCTGGGTTGCTCCCTGCCTCTTCCTCATCTGAGGGACAGCCAGCCTCAGCGGAGCCGGGACCCAGGACACTGGTCTGTAAAGTGAACGAGGACGTCTGTTCCATTATACTTTTTGCACTGCCATCGACGACTGTTGCAGATGTCTGCCGGCGGTTTGTTTGAAAGCCTTCGCGTTACTGACTGGCATCTGTATGATGTCGGTGTGTTTTTTGTTTTTAATATTTATTTTATTGTCATTTCTGATGTTGTCGTAACCTATGCCTTGAGAACCTCAGCGGCTGCGGCGTGGAACTGAAAGGCTTAAATAACTGAAGCACGTACAATTGGCATGTGCAGATGCCAAAATACAAGCAATTATCTGTTTTAAATTATTTGATTTATCATCCAATAGGCTGGGCTAGGGGAGGAGAATGTAGGCCCCAGCGCCCACCACCACCACCACCTCCAGGCTTATGCATTTTCTCCCCTGCTATCTTTACAAGAGGCTATACAAGGTATTAATGCAGGGAGCACGGGATTCCCCCTCCCCCTTCCTGTCTGCCAAGACCGCCAGCAACCATTCCTTTCTAAAGCTCACGCTGCAGTGTGCGGTATGAGCAAACAAACTGGGAGGCTGCACCTGTAAGCATGAAAGATGGAAGGAGGGAGGGCAGTGAAATGCGATCATTATTTAATTGGCAATTCCCTTGAAACGTTGCAATTGCCTTCCTCGGGGGAATCCACGGAACATATATATGGACACGCGTTTTGACGGTGTCACTAAAAACTCAAATCTTTTTTTTTTTTTTTAAGCACGGACCACGACTCAGCGGAAAATCTCAATTCACTCTGGAGCGGAAAAATCTCAACTCACTCTGCATTCTGGCAAGCGATCCCGGCATTTCAACGGCTGGATTAAAACATGCCAACCATGCAAGTGTTTTGTAGATTCCCCTGGTGAGGTCGACGAAAATGAGTCCCGGAGATGGAACAGGAGTTACAGGCTGTGTTGTCCTATACACACACACACACACCCCGCTCAACACTGGAGTCTGGTGTAGTGGTTAAGTGTCTGGACTCTAATCTGGGAGAACCGGGTTTGATTCTCCACTCCTCCACGTGCAGCTGCTGGGTGACCGTGGGCAAGCCACAGTTCCCTCAGAGCTGTTATCTCAAGAGCAGTTTCTGTGAAGAGCTCTCTTAGCCTACCTCACAGGGTGTCTGCTGTGGGGAGGGGAAAGGATTTGTAAGCCACTCTGAGACTCCCTTGGGTGGTGAAGGGCGGGGTATAAATCCAATCTCCTCCTCCTCTTCTTCTTCTTCCTCCAGTTTGGTGTAGTGGTTAAGTGTGCGGACTCTAATCTGGGAGAACCGGGTTTGATTCCCCACTCCTCCACTTGCACCTGGCTGGATGACCTCAGGCAAGCCGTAGTTCTGATAAGAGCTGTCCTTGAAAAAGAGCAGTTTCTGTCAAGAGTTCTCTCAGCCCCACCTACCTCACAGGGTGTCTGTTGTGGGGAGGGGAAGGGGGTTTGTAAGCCGCTCTGAGACTCCAAGTGAAGGGCGGGGTATAAATCCAATCTCTTCTCCTAAACTAGAGTGTCCTCAATGTATGGCTGACTAAGCCTCTGCTTAAAGACCTTTACCAAGGGAATGCCTCTTTATTTATTTATTTATTATTAGGACACTTTCAGATAGGTAGAGCCGTGTTGGTCTGCAGTAGAAGAACACGATTTGAGTCCAATCGCACCTGGAAGACCAACAAGATTTCCAAGGTATAAGCTTTCAAGAGTCAAAGCTCCCTTCGTCAGTCTAACGAAAGCTATGTCTTGTTGGTCTATAAGGAGCAACGGGACTCTGGTCTTGCTCCTCTAGGACAGTGGTTCCTAACCTTTGTGGTATGGTGGCCCACAAGTCCAAATTTACTTGGAACGGGTGACCCATCCAAAGCTGGCCCAAGGGTGGGGTTTTTTTGGCACCCTAGGCAAACTATGACCATGGTACCCATCCAGGCCAGCGTTCCATCTTCTACAGTGGCTAAGCAACAAACATCACAAAAAGGGCACAGCTGCCACTATTATAAACCCCAAGCAAGGGGCATTTCGACAGGCACAGCCTTTGCATAATGGAGGTAGCATCCCAGCCCCTGACCACCAACGCTCCCTCTAAGCTGTTGGAATCTTGTGAGCAAAAGTTCTACTTTGTGAGCTACTGGCATTAAAGTTGTGAGCGAGCAATTTGGCAACTGCGTTAAATTAGTTTGCTCTGGAGCCGTCCTTCCTGAGACAAAAACGTGTGAGCTGGAGGCTAAAAAACTGAGCTAGCTCACACTAACTCAGCTCAGAGGGAACACTGCTGACCACCCTCTCCTTCTCCATGACTCCCTCTAATCCCCCATGAGATCCTAACAAACTCACTCTAGTAACCATCAGGACACATTTTACTTGGGTCAACACGCATAGCCAGTGAAGACAAAAATCAACTAATGCATGACACGGAAAACAAAGTTGCTCTTACCTATAACCAGGGCTTTTTTTGTAGAAAAAGCTCAGCAGGAACTCATTAGCATAATAGGCCATACCCAACAGCAGAAACTCATTAGCATAATAGGCCACACTCCACAGCAGAAACTCATTAGCCTATTAGGCCACACCCTGACAGTGCAGCTCATTAGCATATTAGGCCACACCCCCATGCCTTCCCTTGGTTTGCCCGGGCGCCCCACAGCTGCGGGGAGCCAAGGCAAGCTGGCCCTTGGACAGGCCGGGAAAGGCACGGAGAGCCATTTAAATGCCTCCCCGATCCTTCCAGGGGGCCCCCGGCCCACCTGCCTCAGAGTTGCCCGGGGTGTCGCTCTCCAGGCCTTCCCTCTGTAGCCACGCACGCAGAGGTTTTGGCTGTAGTGGGCGTGGCCAACTCTGAAGCCAGCCGGAACTCCGTTCCTGTGCGTTCCTGCCCCAAAATAGTCCTGCCTGTAATGGTTGTTCATCAAGTGCCTTCTGTGCAGGGACACCTGGGGGACTGGGATAAGTGGAACCTGGAAACTACCTTAGGGAGAAGCCTAAGACTGGGCTGAAGAATTAACCCTTTCAGGAAAGGTCTTCAAAAACGGGGGGTCCACCTGAAGAGCTGCTAACTCACTTACCCTCCTGACTGATGTACCCTTGAGCCCCTCTAACGCTGGGAATGGAATGATACCGGGGGACTCCGGGGGGGGCGCCCGCCCTCTCGTCCGGATTCAGATCCAGTGTAATGTTGGATCTGTCGGATTCAATGGCAGCGTCCCCTCCCCTCACGACAAGTACAGGACGGCGAGGCCTACGTGGCACCGCTGCAGATGGAAGAACCGAGGAAACTCAGAGAGGGTAGGAGTCAATGCTCCCTCTAAACTGGGGAGTCTTGTGAGCAAAAATTCTGCATTGTGAGCGAGTGATTTGGCTGCTGCATAAATTGAGTTTGCTCTGGAGCCAGCCTTCCTGAGGACAAAAATGTGTGAGCCGGAGGCTAAAAAACAGTGAGCTGGCTCACACTGATTCAGCTTAGAGGGAACACTGGTAGGGATATAAATCCATATCCCTGGGATGAGCGAAGCAGTCAGCCCCACTCTTCCGGATAGTCTCAGGACATCATGTACAGGTGTGACGGCCATCACACAGAAGAAGAAGAGAAGAAGAGACTGGATTTATACCCTGCCCTTCACTACCCAAAGGTGTCTCAGAGCGGCTCTCGAACTCCTTTCCCTTTCCCTCCCCACAACAGACACCTTGTGAGGTAAAAGAAGAAGAAGAGATTGGATTTATACCCTGCCCTTCACTACCCAAAGGTGTCTCAGAGCGGCTCTCGAACTCCTTTCCCTTTCCCTCCCCACAACAGACACCTTGTGAGGTAAAAGAAGAAGAAGAGATTGGATTTATACCCTGCCCTTCACTACCCAAAGGTGTCTCAGAGCGGCTCTCGAACTCCTTTCCCTTTCCCTCCCCACAACAGACACCTTGTGAGGTAAAAGAAGAAGAAGAGATTGGATTTATACCCTGCCCTTCACTACCCAAAGGTGTCTCAGAGCGGCTCTCGAACTCCTTTCCCTTTCCCTCCCCACAACAGACACCTTGTGAGGTAAAAGAAGAAGAAGAGATTGGATTTATACCCTGCCCTTCACTACCCAAAGGTGTCTCAGAGCGGCTCTCGAACTCCTTTCCCTTTCCCTCCCCACAACAGACACCTTGTGAGGTAAAAGAAGAAGAAGAGATTGGATTTATACACCGCCCTTCACAACCCAAAGGTGTCTCAGAGCGGCTCTCGAACTCCTTTCCCTTTCCCTCCCCACAACAGACACCCTGTGAGGTAAAAGAAGAAGAGTTTTTGATTTATACACCGCCCTTCACCCAGAGTCTCAGAGTGGCTTACAAATTCCTTTCCCTTCCCCTCCCCACAACAGACACCCTGTGAGGTGGGTGGGGCTGAGAGAGCTCTTGACAGAAACTGCTCTTTTTCAAGGACAGCTCTTATCAGAACTATGGCTCAAAATATTAAAATTATTAATATTGAAGCAGTAGTTAAAAATAACTCACAAGTATATTGTTATACTAACAGGTATTGGCTAACATGTAGAGTAACACGGAAATGATCTCCTACTCTTCGGTTTTTAGTTAGTGTGGGTATCTTTTCTTTATCCCTAGCTGTAGTCCCCCTTCCTATATTTTCTGTTGTAGTTACGTAGTCTATTAAAAAACCAATAAAATTACCCTCTTGGGGGTTTCAGAAGAAAAAAAAAAGAACTATGGCTTGCCCAAGGTCATCCAGCCAGGTGCAAGTGGAGGAGTGGAGAATCAAACCAGGTTCTCCCAGGTTAGAGTCCGCACACTTAACCACTACACCAAACTGGTGGCCGAGGCTGAGACCATGGAACCGTGGCCATGGGCTCCAGTTCAGCATCACATGGGACTTGACTAGCTGGTAAGCCTGCTTCTGCTTCCCCATCTGAGATTGAGACCGGAGGAGATCTTGGACCTGAGGATGGAGTCCTAGGCTTCTCCTGTAGGTTGGAGTAGATCATCCGGAGTGCCACCCACCTCCCCTCTAAAGGCAGAGCGGGGCTTGAGAGGCAGATATTGTGGGTCGGACAGTAGGGGAGGAAATGGTCCTACTGAACAACAATGGCACGGGCTCCAGCAACACAGGCAGCCAGCGGCCTCCTCTGCTTTCCTGTTGGTCTCAGCCGGATGATGCACACCCTCACCTCGCCTGCAGGTCAGACCCTTGTGCCCCCCCCTCCCCCATGCAAGCCAGCCGACGTAGCCTTACCGTAGCTGGTGATGTCTGCCTTGTATTCATCGAAATGCAGGGCGCCATTCAGAAAGCCGAAGTTTGTCCCCCCATGGAACATGTAGAGGTTGATGGAGGCTCCTGTGTTGAGGACTCTCTCCACGGTGTTCACCATCTCTGTGCGGGGGAGGGAAGGCCAAAGAGGGATTTAGGGAGCCGCACGGCCAGCCACTGCCATGACGTGTAATTACAGGATGGACCACTCGGGTGTGCGGAGATTTCCATTTGCAAGGCGGCCCTTTTCCACGCCCGGCAAGGACTCTCATTCAACGGGCACGCACTTAAAGACAAAATACTTCATAGAATCATAGAATGTTAGAGTTGGAAGGGACCTTGCAGGTCATCTAGTCCAACCCCCTGCACTCTGCTGAAAGGTAGCCCTACATATCTGCAACATACCCGAAAGATGGTTGTCCAGCCTCCACTTGAAAACGTCCAGCGAAGGAGCATCCACCACCTCCCGAGGCAGACTGCTCCACTGCTCAACCACTCTTACAGTTAGGAAGTTTCTCCTGATATTTAGCCGGTAACGACTCCCTTGTCATTTCCACCCATTAGATCTAGTCTTGCAATCCGGAGCAAGAGAGAATAGATCTGCTCCATCTTCCACATGACAGCCCTTCAAATACTTGAAGACTGCAATCATGTCCCCTCTAAGCCTTCTCTTTCCCAGGCTAAACATACCCAACTCTTTCAGCCTTTCCTCGTAAGACTTGGATTCCAGCCCTCTCACCATCCTGGTTGCCCTCTTCTGGACGCGCTCGAGCTTCTCAACATCCTTCCTAAAATGTGGTGCCCAAAACTGGACACAGGACTCCCGGTGAGGCCTGACCATAGCAGAAAAGAGTGGAACTACCACCTCCCTTGATCTGGACACAATGCTTCTGCTAATGCATCCTAAGGCTGCATTACTAAGGGCGGACAATCCACGCAGCATCCTCTCAGAAATGAGCCTGCCCTCCCGACTCAGTCAAAAGATCCGCATCTGAGTGGAAATTGTAAAGAGGGACAGGAGGCGGGTTTCTCGGTCCAAGCAATGAGCAAAGTGTAATTTTAAATATATAGGCATTCTTTATATATATATATAGGTTCTGCATTAAAACAAGGCAGTGCTAGAGACAGCATGGGCCGTTCCATTCCCCAAGGTGGGAAGAGTCCTTTGGCAGAGGGGGCAGGAAGGAAGCAGAGGACGTAGCAGCAGCAATGAAAGGTAGCCAAGGAGAAGCACTGCAGAACGATGGCTCACCATTGGCGTCAAAGATGTTATGAGGGCCGCCCCAGCTATCGAACCACCCGGTCCAGTACTCCATCACCATAATCGGCTTCTTGCGCTGCAGAAAGGCAAAATACAAAGAAGTACAAAGTACAAGAATTAAGGGGGGGGGTAAAATCGCAGGGCGTATGCAGCGGCAGTGCCAACAATTAGACAAGGCATGGCATCTTCCTGCGCCACAACAGTGGCTGGGGTGAGAACAGTTCTGAAACTGCCTCCTTTTGTGCCATCGACCTAACTTCCAAAGCCTCTGTGCTGAGGAGGGTTTGCGGCGTGTTACACCTACGTGGGGAGTGTCGCCAAGTGACTTACGGCGACCCCTAGTGGGGTTTCCAAGGCAAGAGAGGTTCAGAGGTGGTTGGCCATGGCCTGCCGCTGCATCACAATCCCTAGGCTTCCTTGACGGTTTCCCATCCAAGTACTCACCACCAGCAATGTCCCCTCTAAGCTGTGGAGCCTCATGAGCAAAAATTCTACTTTGTGAGCGACTGGCATTAAAGTTGTGAGCGAGAGATTTGGCGCCTGCATAAATTAGTTTGCTCTGGAGCCATCCCTTCCTGAGCCGAGACAAAAATGTGTGAGCCGGAGGCTAAAAGAAACTGTGAGCTAGCTCACACTTACTCAGCTTAGAGGGAACGCTGCTCACCAGTGACAGCCCTGCTTAACTTCTGAGATCTGAGGATATCAGGCTAGCCTGGGCCTTCTAGGTCATGGGGATATGCCGGGCATGGGCCTGCGGGGGTCTAAACCTGATCTGGCCCCCAGGCCACATGTTTGACACCCCTGACGTGAACTGCTTCAGATCCTGTGTTCTCAGACGGTCATGAGAATGGCTGATTTGGGGGGGGGAGGGGGAAGAGCGGGAATCTTGCTCAGGACACGCTAAACTGAGAACAAATGCTCGAGGTCCAAAAGACAACAGAATTGGCACACTCGGCCATCTTCGAGAAAACCGTAAGAACGGCCTGAAGGTACCCAGGGAGGGAAGGTGGAAGGGTGCAGTCTGACCTTGCCAGATCTCGGAAACTAAGCTGGGTCAGTACTTGGGTGGGACACCACCGAGGAAGGCTCTGCAGAGGAAGGCCATGGCCAACCACCTCTGCTTCTCCCTTGCCTTGAAAGCCCCTTGCTGGGGTCGCCGGAAGTCGGCTGTGACTTGATGTCATTTGCAAACATACATGCGAAGGTACCTAGAGAAGTGGGATGCAAATGTTCCCCGGCTACGAACAGCCTGCCTGCCAGGAAGCGGAAGCGGCTCCGTTCGGCCTCCCTCCTGCCAAGCCTCCTCCTCTGTAATGGCTTAATCGATCAGTCCGTATTAGCAAAGGAATTACCGAGCCCTTCAAATATGTTAAAGTGCTAAAACGGAGAGACAAACACAGACCTCATGCCCGCAGACGTGACTCAGGGAAGGGGGATCGTTTAATCATGCCTCTCCGGTGGCTTTGTGAGGGAGCCGATCTACCGTGACCATGCGGGCAGCCTGCACTCCTACAGAACTGTTCCGTGCAGAGCAAAAGAAGGAAAGAGCAGCGAGCCTCGGACGAGGCAGACGCTGGGTTCCTTTTAAAGTCAGAGACCAGCAAGATGCGGATTGTTATGAAAGCTGGGTGTGTAATAACTTAAACCTATGGTAAGATGCGGATGTCTCATTGATCTGACAAATGTAACCTGATTATGTAACTTTGAAAATGTAATACTCTTTTTAGCAACTCTAGCACTCTTTTCCTGTATACTCCAACTTACCTGTTTTGTTAATTGCTATTTTTCTTTGCATTTATTAATAAAATGTTATTTTAAAAAAAAGCTGGGTGTGTGTACGTGTGGAGGGAGGGCCGTGGGTTACAGCACCCAAAGAGTTATTAACACCTGGAATTCCCTGCCACAGGAGGCGGTGGCAGCTACAAGCCTGGACGGCTTCAAGAAGGAATTGGATCAACATCTGGAGCAGAGGTCCATCAGTGGCTATTAGCCACAAGGTATAGATAGGAACTCTCAATCCGGGGTAAGGGATGCTCTGTATTCTTGGTGCTTGGAGGGGAGCAGCAGTGGGAGGGCTTCCAGTGTCCTGGCCCCACTGCTGGACCTCCTGATGGCACCTGGTATTTTTTGGGCACTGTTTGACAGAGTATTGGACTGGATGGGCCATCGGCCTGATCCAGCACTGGCTTCTCTTATGTTCTTAGAAGAGCCTGCCTAAATCAGACCAAAGCTCTGTGTTGTACAGCATCCTGTTTCCCCCTTGGAGCCAGACAGATATCATGGAGAAGACCAAGATCTGGGCCTGAAGGTAACAGCCTCCCACTGTGCCTGTTCCCCTGCCACTGATACTAAAAGGTACCCTGCCTCTGAACATGGAGGTTCTATTTGGTGCAGTGGTTAAGAGCACAGACTCTAACCTGGGAGAACCGGGTTTGATTCCCCACTCCTCCACATGCAGCTGCTGGTGTCACCTTGTTCTCTCAAGAGCAGTCCTTGAAAGAGCTCTCTCAGCCCCACCAACCTCACAGGGTGTCTGTTGTGGGGAGGGGAAGGGAAAGGCGTCTGAGACTCCCTTGGGTAGTAAAGGGCAGGGTATAAATCCAATCTCTTCTCTCTCTGGAGAGCCAGTCTGGTGTAGTAGTTAAGTGCACGGACTCTAATCTGGGAGAACCGGGTTTGATTCCCCACTCCTCCACTTGCACCTGGCTGGATGACCTTGGGCAAGCCGTAGCTCTGATACGAGCTGTTCTTGAAAAAGAGCAGTTTCTGTCAGAGCTCTCTCAGCCCCACCTACCTCACAGGGTGTTTGTTGTGGGGAGGGGAAGGGAAAGGAGATTGTAAGCCACTCTGAGACACCTTTGGGTAGTGAAGGGCGGGATATAAATCCAATCTATCCAATCTATCCAATATCTCTCTCTCTCTCTCTCTCTCTCTGCTGTCATGGAAAATTTACCACTGATCACCTATTTATTTAATTAGGTAATTTCTCGGTTGCAACCAAGAAATTAGAAGGTGACTGAGCCGGAGAAGTCACGAAGGAACTAGAAAAGATCCTTAAGTGTTAAGCTGTGTCGCTGGTGACCAAGATCAAGTTAATCCGTGCCACAGTATTCCCCATGACTACGTACGGGTGTGAAAACTGGACAATGAAGAAAGCTGACAGGAAGAAAGTGGATTCATTTGAAATGTGGCGTCGGAGGAGAGTTTTACGGATACCGTGAACTCCCAAACAGACAGATCAGTGGGTTCTAGAGCAAATCGAGCCTGAACTCCCCCCCCCCCCCCCCCCCAAAAAAAACAAAGAAACCAAACTGAGGCTGTTGTACTTGGTCACATTGTGAGAAGGCAAGAATCACTGGAAAAGACAACAGTGCTAGGAAAAGCTGAAGGCAGCAGGAAAAGAGGAAGACCCAACGAGGATATGAGAGACGGAGACGTGGCCAACATCCCTGTGATTTCTCAAAAAGGTGAGGTTCTGCACTCATGTCTCCCAGCTCCACTGAGGTGCAGCGGTTAGAGTGTGGGGTTGGGATCTGCAAGAACCGGGTTCGAATCCCCACTCTGCCATGGAAGCTTGCTGGGTAGCCTCAGGACAGGTTTCCCTTTTGAACGTTTCCTCCTTACCTGTACTGAGTCGAGATGGACAAAGATAGCCGGTTCCAGCTTCTGGAAGTTTACAGTGGAAAGGGCTGTCGGGGGGAAAAGGAAACAGGTCAAGACGTTTATTTCACAGAGTGGACACGGCTCCTTAGTAGAGCACAATTCTTTGCATGCGGAAGGTCCCAGGTTTGATTCCCACAATCTCCAGTTAAAGGAGACCCATAGTGAGCGATTAAAATGTGGTATTGGCCGCCAGAGGATGTAGTGATGGCCACAGGCATAGACAGCTTGAAAAGGAGATTAGACAGATTCATGAAGGAGAGGTCCATCAGTGGCTGAGGGGAACCTCCACATTCAGAGGAAGTCAGGAGGCCACATCAGTGAAGGTCTTGGCCTCTATGCCCTGTTGTTGGGCCTCCGGGGCAACTGGGTGGCCACTGTGTGAGACAGGATGCTGGACCACTGTTCTTATGAATTCTGGGTGGGCAAGATCCTTTTCTGCCCAGGACCCTAGAGAGCTGCTACCACTCAAAGTAGGTAATACTATGCTATGTGCTATGAGCAACAAAGGGGACACTTGGTATAAGGCAGCTCCATGAGTTCAAAAGAAGAAGAAGAAGAGAAGAAGAGATTGGATTTATACCCCGCCCTTCAGTACCCGAAGAAGTCTCAGAGCGGCTTACAATCTCTTTTCCCTTCTTCTCCCCACAACAGACACCCTGTGAGGCAGGCGGGGCTGGATAGAGCTCTTTCAAGGACTGCCCTTGAGAGAACAGCTCTGAGAGAACTTGTAACTGACCCAAGGTCACACCAGCAGCTGCATGTGGAGGAGCGGGGAATCAAACCCGGTTCCCCCAGATTGGAGTCCGCGCTCCTAACCACTACACCAATTCATGCCTTCCTGCTCCACGCAGCCTAGTTCACTGGCAACTGGTAGGAGTGTATTACAGCCCTCTCTTTCTCCTGCGCATCAAGCCCAATCCATGTGTGCATGTACAATCACTTGGGGACTAGCAGATGACTGTGTAAAAATCATGCAATGGAGGGGAGGGGAGGGGAGGGGAGGGTCACAGTGTTAGAGTCACACTTGCAACCTATCATGCAATGAAGCCGAGGAAAACTGCCCAGCAGAGATGCAGCCAAGCATGAAATGCAACTTGCCTGAAGAACAAGACGTGGGTCCAGGAGAGTCAAAATCCTCTTTGCCTTTTTGAGAACTTTGACTGTCAAAAGCTCATCGCCCTGGGAATCTTGTGGCTTTTAAGGTGCCGCTGGACTCAAACCTTGCTCCTCTATGGCAGACCGACATGGCGACCCGCTTGGAACAATCTGCCTGAAGGATCTAAGTCAGGCCTCGTGTTAGATTCGACTCTAAGCCTCACTCCTGCGCCCCAGCCTCCTGCTCAAAACTACAGTACCCAGGATTCCCTGGGAGAGAAAACCTCCAATCCAATTAGCTCCTGCAGTGCACAAATGGCCTCACAATATACGATGAAAAAGCCGGAGGTCACATCTCTCTCGCTTAAAGCCCCTGCTTTCAAGGGGACTCACCGGAAGGATTCATTAGCGCTTGCAAAGCAGTGAGGGATGCTGAGATAAAAAGGGACGCGTGCCAAAGTAGCCCAGAAGCAGATGACATTGCGACGGGAGAGCCTCCATGTTTCGGCCGCAGGGCTGTCGGCCCGCAGTGGTGGCTCGTGGAAATCGTGAGATCTGCTCAGGGGGGCGCGCGGCCCGAAGCTAGGCATAAGCCAGCCGCAGCTTACCATTGAAAACCCACGCTCCCCTAATTACGAAGTCACAGCCAATGATTGAGCTGGTGCATTAACAACGAGCTGCCAGCCACTGCCTTTGATGAGCGGAACAAATGAAGACCGCCCAATACAGATCTGGGGAAGAAGGTCCTGGCTCCTAGGGGAGAGGGTTCTGGCGCCTGCTGAAGCGGTGGGGTCCTCAGCCTTTGTAAGCCTGAGGGCACCTTTGGAATTCTGACACAGGGCAGTGGGCGTAATCACAAAATGGCTGCCCCAGGGGGTGGAGCCAACCACAAGATGGCTGCCACAGGAGAGGAGGCAACCACGAGATGTCCGGGAGCGAGGTTATCTGTAACTCTAATAGTACCTCTAGGGCCGCGGTGGCTCAGAGGTTAAGACGCTGAGCTGCAGACCGGAAAGGTCTGTAGTTCGGCAGTTCGAGACCCGAGTGCCGCGTGACGGAGTCTCTGGTCCCAGCCCCTAGCAGTTCGAAAGCAAGAAATGGCAAGTAGATAAACAGGTACCGCTTCGGTGGGAAGGCAACAGCGTTCCGTGTGCCTCGGCATCTAGTCATGCCGGCCACGTGACCACGGAAACGTCTTCGGACAGCGCTGCCTCTTCAGCTTGGAAACGGAGATGAGCACCGCCCCCTAGAGTCGGATTCAACTGGCTTTCGAGCAAGGGAAACCTTTACCTTTACCTTAATAGTACCCCTCCATTATGTCTGGCAGAAGCTCTTTGTAACAGGATGCCTTTGAATCTGCACAGCCAATCAGAAGCCGTCCTGGGCAAAAGCCCCACCTGTTGCCCAGTGGTAGAGCACCCGCTTTGCACACAGAAGGACCCAGGTTTGATCCTGGGCATCTCCACTTCAACAGGCCTCTCTGGTTACAGCCCCGGGAGTGAATCTCGCTGGAGAACTTGGAGAGTCTCTCCCACCATCATTATTTGATTCACGCTAGCACTTTATGTATTGTTTTTAGAACTATATTTATTGCGATTTTATTCAATTACTTGCTTTATCTTTGTCATAATATTATGCAAGCCGCCCTGATCCTGCCCCGGCGGGGAGGGCAGGATATAAATTAAATAAATACATACATACATAGTTGGAGTGGATGGGATATAAGTTGATGGGATAACCCGATCTCGTCAGATTCCAGAAGCTAAGCGGGGTCAGCCCTGATTAGTCCTTGGATGGGAGACCACCAAGGAAGTCCGGGGTCGTGAGGCAGAGGCAGGCGATGGCAAAGCACCTCTGAATGTCTCTTGCCTTGAGAACCCTGTCAGGGGTCGCCGTAAACCCACTGTCACTTTCCACCCCCACCAATGGTCTGACTTGGTAGAGCAGCTTCACACATAACACAAGCAAGGTGGAATCCAAGCCTCTTTTTTGAGTGTGGAACCGCAAGGACTAGGAGACACTCGGGCTAGAACCAGCAACCCACAGCTCTAAGTGCTAGTGTCCTGTGGAGGGGGAGACCCCACCGATCTCCGCTCGGCCTCCTGCACAGACATGTCTGTTGCCTCGCAAACTCTCCTGCTCTTGTTTTGAGGTTGGAACATAAAGACTGGGGGGTTCTGCTTGCGTGACCACAGCTTCCCCTCTGTTTCCTGGCAAGAAGAAGAAGAAGGAGAGAAGGAGGAGGAGGAGAGGAGATTGGATTTATACCCCGCCCTTCACTACCCAAAGGAGTCTCAGAGCGGCTTACAAACTCCTCCCCCTTCCCCTCCCCACAACAGACACCCTGTGAGGTAGGTGGGGCTGAGAGAGCTCTTGACAGAAACGGCTCTTTTTCAAGGACCGCTCTTATCAGAACTACGGCTTGCCCAAGGTCATCCAGCCAGGTGCAAGTGGAGAAGTGGGGAATCAAACCCGGTTCTCCCAGATTAGAGTCCTCGCACTTAACTACGACACCAAACTGGCTCTTACTGATCAGAGGAATCGACTTCCACGAGGACTATGCTCTGCTCTGCTGATTTAAAAAGCCAACAACTTTCCCAACTGACCTGCAGGTCCTCGAGAGGGTGGAGCCCCTCTCTCAAAATCCCACAAAGAATCACAGGCCAGCCAGAGGCAGAGATGCAGAAGAGCAAAGCCCCCTGCCCGTCTTCTTCCTCCCGGCAGTCTGCGGCAGGTTTCCCCCTCTCCCTCCACTGCACCCCACCCATCCCACAACTTCGCTCCTTCCCCCTCCGAGCGTGCGTTTTATTCCCCCCGGCTCCCCGCGTGTTCCTGCAGCCACCTTGCCTCTGTCGCTGCATCACTCAGAAAAGCTCTCGTTATTCCGCACTCCTGATTACTTGACATGTTGACTCTAATGAGCAGATTGTTGTGACATCCCAGACTCGAGCTGGTATCAAGGCGTGCTCGTCATACGAGCCCCGCTGGAGAAGACAACTCCAAACAAGGAAGAATGAGCGCTTCACAGGCGGTAAACAGCACAGGAGGCAGAACATGGATCGGTGGGTCCCCCATTCCCCCCTCCCACCCTCCTCCGTCTCCCACTGGCGTGGAAAGAGCGGCACCGTGTGGACAAGGCTGGGAAATGCTGACACAAAAAACCGGAAAGGAGGAAGCAGACCGGTCCATTCAGATGTCTGCCGAGCAGCAAGAGAGCCCCAAATGCACGCCAGGGGCCTACAGACTCACCTGGACTTTGATTTCAGGGGGCTCACGTAATATGGAGCAATCGGGGTTCCTTGAGATATACAAATCTAGCTTGAGCCAGTTGGGTGCAGTGGTTAAGAGCACAGACTCTAATCTGGGAGAACCGGGTTTGATCCCCCTTCCTCCACATGCAGCTGCTGGTGGGACCTTGGGTCAGTCATAAGCTCTCGCAGAGCTGTTCTCTCAAGGGCATTTCGAGAGAGAGCTCTCTCAGCCCCACCTACCTCACACGGTGTCTGTTGTGGGGAGGGGAAGGGGAAGGAAATTGTAAGCCGCTCTGAAACTCCTTCGGATACTGAAGGGTGGAGTATAAATCCAATCTCCTCCTCCTTCTTGCAAATAAATGGGAATCCAGGGCCCACAAATGCTACACTGACACAGAGTGTCAAGCTTTTGTCATTAAAAAGCCCAGGAAGGAAGTCCTAACCCTGAAATCAATGTATGCCCATTGGTTAGTGCGAGTGTTGGAGCACCCTGTAGATGCTGGCAATCCCTAGACAGGAAAGGGCGGGAGCTGGGAAGATTCCAAAGGTTAGCAGTATTTCACATCTAAACATTGAGTTGGAATGAGACAGGGGACATAGTCCCAGTCTCATACAATGTGAACAGACCGGCCCATTTAGGAGGGCCTGACTTCTGAAAGCCATGGGATTTTTTTCCCCACAGACAGCTGAAGCTGCCCCCAACCAATTCAAAATGAGTAAGGAGGCAGTTTCAGGGGATGCAGCTTTGGGTGAGCCCTAGCATCCTTGCGCCCACCAGAAATCTCTGGGTCAGGGCGAGGGGATTCAGAGTCGGGACAAACAGCAAGATAAGGCCCGTGCAGCTCTGGGCAAGGCAGCCACGGCCACTTCGGCCGGTCGGAGCTCCTGCCTTAATTTACCGGCTATTCCGGGCCGGTCCAAATTCCCAGCCTGTAATTTCGGCGTGCACAGCTTTAATTAAACCGTCAGGTATTAAGCTCCAATTTAATATGAAAAGGGTGCAGCGAGTTGTTCGAGAAAACGTAAGTGGCTTGCACCGGAGGAAAATTGTTTTTGATGCAAAAATACAAAAAAGCAATTTCAGCCCATTAGGCTTAATCCAGAGAGGTTTTGAGTGTTTCAGCTTTCCTGCTAAAAAATCAGCCACCCTTGCAGATATGACTTGCATTCTGGTTAAGATGTTATTAATCACTTTTTTTTCCTTTTAAAAACTGATGCAGACTTTGCTAAAAGAGGGTAGAGGTCACCCTTTTACGGAAACAGGGCGGGGGAATGGCACGGATTCCTGTACCCTATGGGGAAGGCAACTGCCTATAGCTTGTAATCACATATTTTTTTTATAAACCACTTTAAATATTTAGTGCGGTGTAGTGGTGAAGAGTGTGAGACTAAAGAGCCAGGTTTGAATCCCCACTCGTGCCAGTCACACACCCTCAGCCCACCCTACCTCACAGGGTTGTTGTGAGGATAAAATGGAGGAGAGGGAAATGAGGTAAGCTGCTTTGGCTCAATTTGGCTCCCACTTAAATGAGTTAAATCTATTCAAGCAGAAAGGCAGGCTGTACATTTTCTAATAGGAGCTGCGGTGGCTCAAGTGGTTAAGACGCTGAACTGCAGGCTGTGGAAGGTCAGTAGTTCAGCAGTTCGAGACCCGGGTGCTGCATGATGGAGTGAGCTCCCGTCTCTAGCTCCAGCTCCTGCCAACCTAGCAGTTCGAAAGCAAGACATTGCAAGGAGATAAATAGGTACCGCTTCGGTGGGAAGGTAACAGCGCTCCGTGCGCCTTGGTGTTTAGTCATGCTGGCCACATGACCACGGAAACGTCTTCGGACAGCGCTGGCTCTTCGGCTTTGAAACGGAGATGAGCACCGCAACCCTAGAGTCGGACTCGACTGGCTTTCGAGCAAGGGAACCTTTACCTTTACCTTGTTACATAGACCCATTTTCTGGAATCAGAAAATACAATCACCAGAGGGCAGCTTCTTCTTCTTCTTCTTCTTTTTAAAAAAGAGGTGCCAGAACTCTCAAGAAGGAAATGAAGTTTTCAATCTGTATACTGCAAACTCATGAACTTTTGAACATTTTTAAAAGGATTTTGTCAAAGAGGTTCCGGAACTCCCATTTTCAGTGCATTTTCCCAGAGAAAAGGCCCTGCAGCTCTCACATGCATCACATGAAGACATGAAGCTGCTTTATACGGAATCAGTCTGTCTCATTGGATTGGCAGCAGCTCTCCAGGGCTTCAGCTAGAGGTCTTTCACATCACCCACTACCTACTCCTTCAGGGACCGTGGCTCAGTGGAAGAGCCTCTGCCTGGCATGCAGATGGTCCCAGGCATCTCCACTTAAAGGACTAGGCCATAGGTGACATGAAAGACCTCAGCCTCAGGCCCTGGAGAGTCACTGCCAGTCTGAGTAGACAATACTGACTCTGAAGGATATGATTAGCTTGGGAAAGAGAAGGCTTAGAGGGGACATGATTGCAGTCTTCAAGTATCTGAAGGGCTGTCAGGTAGAAGATGGAGCAGATCTATTCTCTCTTGCTCCGGACTGCAAGACTAGATCTAATGGGTGGAAAGTACAAGGGAGTCGTTACTGGCTAAATATCAGGAGAAACTTCCTAACTGTGGCTGAGCAGTGGAACAGACTGCCTCGGGAGGTGGTGGATGCTCCTTCACTAGATGTTTTCAAGCGGAGGCTGGACGACCATCTTTCGGGTATGTTGTAGGTATGCAGGGCTATCTTTCGGCTATGCTCCTGCAGAGTACAGGGGGATGGACTAGATGACCTGCAAGGTCCCTTCCAACTCTAACATTCTATGATTCTATGATTTGGTAGAAAGGAGCTTCATGTGTTTATGTGTTCTGACTGGAGAAGCCGGGGATTGAACCTGGCACTTTCTGCAACTATGGCTCATCCATCTCCATGCCCAACAATCAAGGGACATATGGGCTAAAGAGAACTTTAGGCACAGTGCCAGCGACAGAACAGAACAGGGTCAGATGGCACGACAGGACTACCAACTGAGGGTGGGGGGAAATCCAGACTCCATCCGAATTACACAGGCCTAATTACCTTAGGCTTGCAAATTTCCTCTACCAGAAAGAGGGCAACCTGTTCTTTTTCTTCTTCTTCTGAAGACTGGCCCATTAATTGTGGACGGGGGGGGGGGGGGGGATACTCTACCAAAGACATGATTGCCACAGCGTATACATCAACCTGCTCACCACCTCCAGGGGTTGTTTTGTAGAAAAAGAGCTAGGGGAACTCATTAGCATAACTCATTAGCATATGCCACCCCCCCTGACATCACCGGAAGTGTGTCAGAAGCCCACACACCCCGCCCCCAACGGTTCTGGCCACCGCCGCTGGCCTTGCAGCTCCACTGCCGAGCCCCGCAAAGGCCCTCCCTGGCCCCAGGCAGGCAGGGGCGGGGAGAGGCAGGGAGGAAGCACCTTACCCTCCCTCTTCTCCTGCCTCCTCCTGGCTGAATGAGGGCCGGAAGTGGGGTGGCCGGAAGCAGGGGGCAGGGCTTCGTCATGTGCCCCGCCCCCCGTACCTCACCCGGGGGAACTGCGATCCCCCGCGATCCCCCCGAAATGACCTCTGACCACCTCCATTTTTTGACTCACCTTGTCCCACCCCATCTCAATACACTGGAGTATGACATACCTCCTTCCGCCAAGCCAGACAAAAGCCCGTCTTTGTTGTCTGAGGTCATCAGCAACTCCACGATCCCTCGGCTTATCAGGGCCTATGGGAAGAAAGAATCACCACGTTGGTTCAGAGGGCAGCCATGCTGGCCAGAAGCAGAAGAGCAAGATCCAAATCCAGTGGCACCTGAGAGATCAACAACATTTTCGAGGTTTGAGCTTTCGGAAGTCAAAGCTCCCTGTGGCAGACAGAGGAGAGCCAGCATGGTGTAGTGGTTAAGAGTGCCGGACCTACCCTCTGAGAAACCCGGGTTCGAATCCCCACTCACGCCATGGAATCTTGCTGGGTGATCTGGGGCCAATTATACTCTCGGCCTGACCTACCTCACAGGGTTGTTGTGAAGATAAAATGGAGGAAAGGAGAGCCGTGTAAGCAGCTTTGGGTCCCTAGTAGGGAGAAAGGAGGAGTACGAATGAAGGAAAATAAACAGGTTGGTACTTGTCATCATGGGACCTGATACAGGTGTACCTGGCTCTGTCCCAAGGGCCCTGCGGGCAACTGCTGGAGCCGCAGGCCAGAACCAAAAACGCTGCAGGTGCTTTGTTGCCCAGGAGATATTGATTCCAAACCTAGCCAATCAGAAACCTTGGTACTGAAAGCCAGTCACTGGGGCACAAATAGCACACCCCTGCTAATCTTCTGTGCACGTGACCTAAGGTCACACGGTCCCGGCCAATGCTCCCTCTAAGCTGTGGAGTCCTGTGAGCAAAAATTCTACTTTGTGAGCTACTGGCGTTAAAGTTGTGAGTGAGCGATTTGGCTCCTGCATGAATTCGTTTGCTCTGGAGCCATCCGTCCTGAGCTAAGACAAAAATCTGTGAGCTGGAGGCTAAAAAACTGTGAGCTAGCTCACACTAACTCAGCTTAGAGGGAACATTGGTCCCAACTAGGTTCGGTCCCAGCCTCAGACGGCAAGGTTCCTGGTTCAAGGCTTCCCACAGATTTCCCTTTAATTTTACAAATATACTTTCCCAGCACTCCTTTTGCGCTGTGGCTTGTTTTTACAGCTGCTTATTACTGATCCTTTTTATGCTTGTTTGTACCATTTTATTGTAGTGTTTTGCTTTGGGAGCAGGCTTGAAGAGGCCTTGAAAGAGGTAGCATGTACATTCTCTAAATGAACTGGGGGGGGGGGAGAATAGACATTCATGAGCAGAAACTGGAGAAAAGTGCTAATAGCAGATGACACACGTGATAGACGCATTCCAAGGGACTACAGGGAAGGCGTTGATTGGTGGGTGGAATCCAGTCACATAACCGTGACTCCAGTTAATGAGGCTGCGGGTTTTAAGCACCTGCACCTATAAAAACAGCAGACAGGGAGTTTCGACTCAGAAGAGGCATTCCCTTCACCTCCTGCATAAGAGAAGAGGCATTCCCTCCTACATAAGAGAGAAGGTGGAATTGCCTCTTCTGGGACAGCGACTGCTGTTAACACATCATTTTATCACCTTTTCTCTTTTTTTAAAAAACCCTGTCGAATCCTTTTCATTTCACAGTACAGGTATTTTTATTTTCCTCCTCTTGTCTTTCTTCTTTGTATGTTTGTTGTTGTTCAGTCACACGGTCGAGTCCGACTCTTTGCGACCCCATGGACCACATCACGCCAGGCCCTCCTGTCTTCCGCCGTGTTCCGGAGTTTGCTTAATTTCATGTTTAGATAGGTGTAAATCAACCAAGACTTTTTAAACTGTTGACAGCCCTAATTATACGACGACTTGACATTACTTGGCTATCATGCTGCTCGCGCGCTCTCTCTCTCTCTGGATGGATGGATGGATGGATAGATAGATGACAGATAGATAGATGACAGACAGACAGACAGACAGACAGACAGACAGACAGACAGACAGACAGATAGATAGATCTGCAAGACTGCACCCCAGGTTACCATTATGGGGGAGATGTTATTACGTGGCATCCTGTAAACCACTTCACTTTGCTACCTCCATCATTCCCCCTTCGTTCCAATGCTGCTCCAAGCCTCCTGATCCTCCAGTTCATAATTCTTTTCTACGGAGATGAGGGTGAAGAACGTCATACGGACACTGGACAAAAACAACCTGACTCCTCACACGAGCAGGTTAGGCTAATCCTGCAAACCACGTTGGCCTCCTGGTAAGACTGGGAAAAGTTTCCACGAGCTGCAGGGGGGGGGGGAGGTCCTTTGCCTTTTTTGGTGCATTGCACCATTTCCTTCCCAGAAAAGAAACGACGGAGGGGTGTACCGCTGAGCAAACAACCCAGCCGGTCTCCTCTCACAAGGATATAGCTGTTGCGGGAGTCACTGCCAAGGCTGGTCGATCCTATTAACTATATCCTGAATTGTAGACCTGCACACAAGCGAGTGGCGTGTTAAAAATAAAAGCACATTTGGCAATCCTGAATGCAGGCTAAGGGAAAGCTCAGGGGGCACTAGTGCAATCCTAAGCCGCTTCCACCACCACCAACGAGGGAAAGACCACCAAGTTGGAGTGTCCTTGATAGCCCGGCGCTATCTATATGACAGCAAGATCAGCCATTTAGCTTGGACTACTACTACCAGGATGATCTATCATGATTAAAGCCTGCAGGGGTAATTCCCTGCAGGTGTCAGCTGCAGACCATCTTGGAATCTAAAGCACTTTATTATTATTATGTTGGTTGTGATGTGTGATTTTATCGGATTTTATAAATTTTATGTATGGGCTTATGCCTTTGTAAGCCGCCCTGAGCCCGCTCGCGGGGTAGGGCGGGGTAGAAATACCTGAATAAATAAATAAATAAATAAACACAGCTGCCGCACCCTTCTCAGTCCACTGAAGTGGATGGGCTTTGTTAAATGCTGCGTTCCATGGATGAGCAGACCCCAAGTCTAGTGATCAGCTCAGCTTTATTAGTGATTCAGCAGATACAAGACTAAACTTCAGGGCAAGAGCCCTGTTGAAATAGCATGCAAACACTACACCCAACCACACCCCACTCCCAATGACAGGCTATTTACATAACATTAATTCCTCACTGGTCACCTCCAGAGTCCTGGTGGGCTATTGTTCTAGAGCTCCAAGCTCAGCCAGTCTCTGGTAGAAACAGTCCTGGGATGTTCCAGCCCCAATACATAACAGGCTTAGAAGGGTGCAATCCTGTTTAGGGGGGAAGAAGAAGAGGAAGAGGAGGAAGAGGAGGAAGAGGAGGAGGAGGCAGAGGAAGATATTGGATTTTTTTCCCCACCCTTCACTCAGAGTTTCAGAGTGGCTTACAATCTCCATTCCATTCCCCTACTCAGAACAGACACTCTTGTGAGGTAGATGGGGCTGAGAGAGCTCTTTCAAGAACTGCCCTTTTAAGAACAGCTCTGAAAGAAGTTAAGACTGAGCTAAGGTCACACCAGCAGCTGCATGTGGAAGAGTGGGGATTCAAACCCGGTTCTCCCAGATTAGAGTCCGCGCTCTTAACCACAACACCAAACTGGCTTTGCACCCCAAAGTAGCTAAAACGGGAGGGGCTTAGAGCACACAGCTTGTATGGGGGAGGATTTCAGCTGTTAAAATTAATATACTAAAGTAATACTACCCTGTTTTCCCGAAAATAAGACCTACCCAAAAAATAAGCCCTAGCAGGATTTCTATGCATTTGTGGTATAAGTCCTAGTGTCTTCTTGAGAAAAAATAAATATAAGACAGTGTCTTATTTTCGGGGAAACATGGTAGTGCTGTTACCAATATCTACTGTAATGCATAAAATACTACTCTTGCAAACAAAATCGCTAATTTAATTTTGGCAATTTTTTTTTAAAGGCTGGGATTCCTGCAATAGGAATGAAGGTGAAGAAGGAAGACCAGCAGGTCTAAAAGGAAGATGTTTGCGTCTGTCTGGGTCCCCCTAGATACAAGCACATTTCTCGTGTTTCTCCCAGAAACTAGCATTGATTGAATGCCATCTCACCTCACACTTCAGCCCTCTATTTGGCCCTCTTTCCAAACATTTACCATTCCTAAAAATAAAAATAGGAAATCTACCCCATTCCATCTCCCAAACACATATATGCAGTGTTCCCTCTAAGCTGAGTTGCTGTGAGCTAGCTCACAGTTTTTTAGCCTCCGGCTCACACATTTTTGCCTTAGCTCAGGAAGGAGGGCTCCAGAGCAAACTAATTTATTCAGCGGCCAAATCGGTCGCTCAAAACTTTAAGGCCAGTAGCTCACAAAGTAGGATTTTTGCTCACAAGACTCCACAGCTTAGAGGGAGCATGGCATAGATGCATACATTTACTCACCATGTCACAGTATTTTAAATTCCAAGGATGGGGGGCAGTGGTGGAGGTGAACATAAGAACATAAGAACATAAGAGACGCCAATGTTGGATCAGGCCAAAGGCCCATCCAGTCCAACACTCTGTGTCACACAGTGGCCAGAAATACCAGTGCCATCAGGAGGTCCAGCAGTGGGGCCAGGACATTAGAAGCCCTCCCACTGTTGACCCCCCCCCCAAGCACCAAGAAGACAGAGCACCCCTTGCCCCAGAGCCCCTAGCTATACCTTGTGGCTAATAGCCACTGATGGACCTCTGCTCCATATGCTTATCTAATTCCCTTTTGAAGCCGTCCATGCTTGTAGCACCCACCACTTCCTGTGGCAGTGAATTCCATGTGTTAATCACTCTTTGGGTGAAGAAGTACTTCCTTTTATCCGTTCTAACCCGACCGCTCTGCAGTTTCATGGAGTGCCCACGAGTTCTTGTATTGTGAGAAAGGGAGAAAAGTACCTCTTTCTTTACCTGCTCTTTCCCATGCATAATCTTATAAACCTCGATCATGTCACCCCTCAGTCGTCTTTTCTCCAAGCTAAAGAGCCCTAAGCGCTTTAACCTTTCCTCATAGGGAAAGTGTTCCAACCCTTTTATCATTCGAGTTGCCCTTTTCTGCACTTTTTCCAAAGCTATAATATCCTTTTTAAGGTGTGGTGCCCAGAACTGCACACAGTATTCCAAATGAGGTCTCACCATTGATTTATATAGGGGCATTATTACATTGGCTGATCTGTTTTCAATACCCTTCCTAA